GTGGACCGCTTCAGGTTCACTGAGTTGCCCAGGCCCTGGCCGCCTCCCACCCAGGCTGGAAGCTTTCCGCTGAGGGACAGCAAATACACCTTGCTGAGTAGCTCACAGGTAAACTGAGTTTGTGGGGACAGCTATGCAGAATCCGTCCTCTTTTTGCTGTATTTCTTAGGAAATCTGACTTATCAACCAGTACCTCCTTAAAATTAAGAAGGGGGAAAACAAAAAAGAATCTCAAGCTAAATATAGAGAATGGACCTTAGATTAGGATCACGTCAAGGAGGAAAATTACGAAAGAAGGAATGAAAGAGGTAGAGTGAAAAGAAGCTTTGTCAACCAGGTTTCTTCTTGCAGCATTTGCGCAACTCAAGCATTTAAACTAAATGCTTCCTGTTCTGTATCCCACATGAGAGGAAGTACAGAGGGAAGATTCTAACAAAAAACCTAGCGGCACAGACATTTGAGTGTGCACACAGGTGTGTGTGCATGTTTGCCAGTGTGCACATGTGTACCTACCATGCAGCACATGTATGTGTGCATGTGGGCCACAGGACTGCGGCATGCAAAAGGGTAAATAGGTCTTCAGATTAGACAGAATCGGACTGGGCTCTGACCATCTCTGCTGTTAAAAAAGAAACAAGTAGGTAAAATCAGACATCTAAGCAAAATATTGGCCAGAAAATAAATAATGTACTTTGCAGTCCTTATTTAGGAAAAAGGCAGCCAGAGGGGGACATTCCTTCAATGAGGGCTGATGGGAAGGGAGACAGTTTAGAAATAATGATCACACATGGTTCACATGGTTGTGTTTATGACTCTGCAGGGTCAGAGGGAGCTTTATGCCTGGAGACCCACTGCTTTCAATAACTTGGAGACTTCTTTGGGCATTTGGGTTGGTGCTTACCTTTCTCTCTGACATCAGGGTTTTTGTTTTGTTTTGTTTTTTTGTTTGCTTGTTTGTTTGGTTTTATTGTGTGGACTTGTCATAATATTAAGTGACTCCATACTGAGGAAGTACTGAAAATAATGCCTGTAACATGGCGAACACCCACCATACATCAGATGTAGGTTGTGTAGGGGCAAAGACGGGTGATATTTCTTGCCTATCATAAAGAGCCCTGTCTGACACCCCTCTATCAAAGATGGATGAAGAAGGGAGAAGCATAGAATATATTTGATCACAGTCTTACATCATATGAGGGCTTTCAAATTGAAGACCTGAAGACCAAGACTGAACCATCCATTTTTCAGATTCACTGAAGCATGAACAGTCATATGGAAATCTAATTGGACAGAAAGGGTATGATACAACTGCTACCTGAGGGGGAAACTCAGCAAGGCCTGGGTACTCCAGTCCTTCTCGGGCTCACGGTACAGCATCCCTTCCTCTGTTATAGGGCATAACCCCTTGAGAATGGAGGTCTTACCATCAGGAAAGCTAGGTTGAAATTTTTCTTTTTGCCTAACTCCAACACAGAATGGCAAGAGATTAATTTTTTTTTTCTAGGCTTCATGGTTTGCTCTGGGGAAAGGGCTCTAGTTTCCATGCCCTACCTTAGAGAAGAGAGGTTCTAGTTTCTGTGCCTTGCCTTTGGGGAGAGAAAAGGGATCAGGAGACAGGAGGGCAGAAGGTCATAAGAAACTTTACTCCCAGGGCTGCTTCTGGGACATACACTTTTGAGGTATTATTTTCTGAGCTGCAACAGTCTCATTTAACAAAGGGACCTTTTATACATTATCAGCTCCATCCTTCAATACAGCCTGGTAGACTAAGCACGCATTGGTCCCATTTTGCAGATAAGACAAAGAAAAGTATTCACCAAAGGTCCCACAGATACTGAGTGACCAAACCAGACCTAGAATCTCATCCTCCTCAGAGGCATCTATTAGTCTGCATTCTGCCTGGACACATTGGATAAATTCTGTAAAAATCTTAACGTCCTAAGAGATGTTGTTCAAACGTCATTTCTTCTCCCCTTCCTTGTCATCTTCCCCTAGGAATGACCTCTCTTTCCTTTGTACTTCCTCACACTTTTTTATACCACCCAGGAGACTTTTCTCTAAATCATCCCCACATTGCAGACTATTACAAGCATCATCTCTCTTCCTTACCCAACTCCAACATCTATAAAAAGTCTTCCTGTACAGCTGCTATGTGTTGAACAACATGGTGTTTCTGCTTAGCATCTGTATTGGTTACTTGACTCATTACTGTGATAAAATACAGACAAAAAGCATATCAAGGGAGAAAGTATTTATTTTGGCTTACAGTTCCAGGGGATACACTCCATCACAGCAGGGCAGGTGCAGCAGCAGGGGCAGGCAGGAGGCAGCTGGTCATGCTATATATGAAGTCAGGGAGCAAGCTCAACTTGCTCTCTCCATTTTATTAAGTCTAGAACCCTGGCCCATGGAATGGGGACACCTACACCTAGGGTAGGTCTTCTCACTTCGATTAACTTTATCTAAATCCCTCACAGACATGCCCAGAGATTTGTTTCCTTGGTGGGTCTAAGTCCCATCAAATTGTCAATCAAGATTATCATCACAGTGCCTGAGGAAATGTTCTCACATGAAGAGAAGTCCGAAGTTCTGAGATTCTCTCTTAAAATGTCTAAGACTGGAATAGTAGTTCAAGATGGAGCATGACTATGGAGCTCCACACCTGGTATCCTGTGAGTGTGGAGAGCGACAGAGCTCAGGAGAAAGCCTGCAGGTACTCCCCTCCATCAGCGTGCAGTTTTGCTCCTTCTGAGAGTCCTAGCCCTGATGTGTCTGAAGCAACATGAGTCTCCTGACATTGTTCAATGGTCAGGGCAAACTCATTTCCACCTCCCCACCGCACCCGCACCCCCACTCCCCGTCTATGTTTCTGGCTGTTATTTTACTGAGATTATCTCTTAAAATGTCTAAGACTGGAGAAAATGTGTTAAAAAGGAAAATTCAGGGGATAAAAACTAGTCTAAATCTGTCTCACACATTCTAATTTACCCTTCCACATTTCTCACGGTGCAGACTACTTTTGGACACCCTCACTCTGCCCTACCCCTACTGGTTGAAAGTTTCCCTACCACTCTCTTTTTTAATTCCAGAGCTCTTCTTTCTTCTGACCCCCTGCTCTCTGCTCATCTTAAGCCCCAAGGCCTAGATGGGTGAGGATCCAGGAGAGAAGAGCAGTCATGCTCTGTCTTCATAACTCCACATATCCCTTCATCCCTAAATGTTAACATGTTCTAAGCAGATTTATTTCTAGCATCTTATTTGGAGTCAGTAACACATCATGGTTTTGAACTTGGAGCCTAGCACCAGGGTCTCTAACTCCAAATCATGGCTCCTAGCTTATTGTCTACATGGCATGGGTAAGTTATTTAGTTGCCTCAGAGACCTCTTCTACAAAATGGAGATGATACATCCTGTCAGTGTTGTTATGAGGATGAGATGAGTTAATGTTTGCAAATTGTCTATGCCTAGCCCATAAACATAGTCATCATTTTCCTTTTCATTTCTTTCTTTTTTTTTTTTTTTGTCTTTTTGAAACAGGGTCTCCCTGTGGCCCCAGCTGGACTGGAACTCACTAGGTTGACTAGCCTGGTCTTGAACTCACAGAGATCCACCTTCCTCTTCCTCCCAAGTGCTGAGATTTTTTTCTAAAGCTGATAGTACAGAAGTTGTATACAGACTATAATATCCTTGAAATTCCAAAGGTGACCCATGAATTGAACCATTTGGAATGATAACTAAGGATAGATTACTTGAACACAGTGCTAGAGAATGTCTTGAAACTTTAAGGTTGTATACAGCACAGAGATGTCCCACCACAATAGCTTACATGGGAGATCTGAAACTTAGGGAACTATAGATTTCTTTCTCTTCACTCTCACCCTAGGAACACATTCAGAGTAAAATGCTGGGAAGAATCATCCATTGCTCTTATTACATAATGCATTCTAGGCTCTTCCTCTCTGAGCATGTAGATGCATTTATAAATTACTTGCACGTATGAAGTGACTAAACTCCATTGTAAACTGCGGTGGAAAGCCTATTCACCAAAAGAAGGACTAGCCCTACCCTACGGCAGCTGCTAATAGGCCATGGGAAGTCATCAAACCTCCCAAGACCATTAAATGATAACTAAAGTATTTGCCAATGAAAACAGGCTATGATTTCATTAGCTTCAGGAAGAAGCTGATGAAAATAACCAGGTATCTAAGTTGAGCCATTGTTCTACTCTCTATGGGCTGTTACACAGGGGAGAAGTACAGTGGGATTGTATTTATTTCAACTGTGTTAATAGAGGGAAGATTTCTGATCTCCAGGAACTTCCTCTTTAGTCTGCACGGCAGTGTGTTCACCCTATGTGCCAGTGTTCAAGTTCAGCAGAGAGCTATCTAACCCTTAAGCCCTTTTTCTCATTGCTGTTTGATTAGGAAATGCATAGGAGTAAGGGAACTATGATTATCACACTTTAGACTGATGGAAAGAGGAATTTCTGTTGCCAGTATAGTGAGGAAATACACCCACAAGTGTGAACTAGTTTGTATGTCCAAGTTTTGAAGAAAGGCCATGAAGCAGTGGGTCTAAAAGATGCCTTCTATGCACCCTCTTTCCTTCTCTGTTTCTGCTGAAGCTTCATGGGAATCTGCTTAGAGACTATCTGGACATGCTTGTTGCTTGTTTATTTCTTTACCTGTCCCATGGAGAGAAGTAGGAGGATGCAGAAAGGGGAAATCAGGAGACAAATGTATGCGTCTCGGGCTGCTTTTAAAAAAACATGATTGTTTCTGACAGAATTTTCTGAGACAAAATATAAGGAAGGAACTTATTGAAGACCATCAAACTGGGACTGGATATGCTATGTACATTTCCCCAAGTTCTTTCTTTCTCCCCTCCCAGCTTTTCCTTCCCCCCTTCCCCCTCTCTTCTCTTTCCCTCTCCTCTCTCCTCAGTGCCAAGGTCACATTCTGAGCCCATGCCCATCTGCCCCTGGCTTTATTATATCATTTGTTTCCCTTGCAGAGAATACCAAAGAAGACCTCAAAGTCTGAAGAAGAGTGCCCCTTCGTGGGGCTTGAAGTGAAGCACTTGCTACATGTTTTTCTCTTACTGAGCCCTGAAAATGAACATATGACCCTGGATCTACAGAAACCTAACTGATCCAACTCGCCATGCATCAACTGTTCAGACTGGTTTTGGGACAAAAAGATCTTTCACGAGCTGGGGACCTCTTCTCCTTAGATGACTCTGAGATTGAAGACAGCCTGACAGAAGCTCTGGAGCAGATTAAAGTAATTAGCTCATCTTCAGTAAGTAAACTGGTTTGTAGAATAGATGTCTCAAATGACCAATTGCAAAGCCGAAGATTGTATGCCTCCCGGGGGAGGGTAAAGAAGGAGCAATGATGCTAGTTTCTCCTAATTGCTCTGTGGTTTACTTGGTGTCTAAGAAATAACAATGGGCAAGGTAGGAACACCTTTTGCCCACTTATGGAGATCTGAATGTTGTACATTGAAAACTGCTGTGGAACTCTCATAAATGGATGATTTAGAGGCTATTTTTACAACCTTGAGATGACATGGAGAAGAGAAGTGTAACAAATTCTAGAAAAAGTAAAGCTGCCAAGCTGCGCAACAGCATTAGTAAGAGAAGCAGGGTGTGAAGTGGAGGCTGAGTAATGAAAGAAGGCAGGATGACACCTCCTGCCACACTGGTAATAGGAGACAAGGACCGCAGGCGAACTCTGCTGCCAGAAATGACAGTTGCCCAGGGCTTGATAATGCTGATTCGGTTTACTTATTCATTGCCTTTCTCTTTTTAAAAATCTCTGCTTTATTTTCTATCTTCCATCCTCCCATTTAATTCAACTTCCCCATTATTAATCCCAGATACGATCAGATAATTTGAGATCTTCATCATCCCTCCCCTTCCTTTGCTTTTTCTCCATGTCAGGATTATACATTCTGAAAGAACTTCCCAAAGGGGAGGTGTGTGGAGTGCCCAGCCTGGTTTCATGTTGACCTTCTTGGTTAGGCTAGGACCCTCTTTAAGATTAGTCCCACTTCAAAGGCCTAAGCCATTGAGCACCTGTCATACCCACATCCTCACAACTCAATAGTGTGTGACAACACTTGGCACAGACACTCATTGGGAAGGGGAAAGTATGGGACTCAAGGCATAAAGTATCAACTTGACAAGTTTTCGTGTTTCAGAAAATAGTTCTCGTCCGCGTTATAATAAGACCTTTAAAAGGCATGCTAGCAAGCAGTAAGACTTCCTGCACAAGCCTGTTATGTTCTCTTGCAATACAACCTAACAACTGAACTTACCAAGTTTCCTCACTGGTCAATGAAGCCACTGCCCAAACAATTCTTTGCTCTGGTAACGTCTTTGACAGCAATTATTTGTGCATATTTTTTTCCAGACCATTAATCAACTTATTCTGACTCAAAACACAAAGTGTTCCTGGTACATTTTCATCGTCTTGGTGATAATTTCTGTGCTGTTTCTAGCAGACCCATCTTTCATGCCTCTAAAACTAAACTGGCTGAATGTGCCATTGATTTTTATCTTCCTAATAGGAACAAACCCAAACCCCAAATATTTAAGGGCCCTAAAGCCAGTTTCCACCAGAGGTCACTAGTGGCCAATACTTTCTTTTGTTTTTTTTCAATTGCTTTGTCTCACAGATGTCAGATGTAGGATTTTAGGACTGGTGAACCCTGTTATAAGTGCACAATGGTTCAGTGAGGATACTGGTTAAGGCTAATAAGACACTGTCATTAGAACTTCAAGTCCTCTTTCAGCATCCCACCTGACCAGCAGTGACAGGGAGAGAAGAATTCACTCTCCTTTATTAACCTCTCTCACATCCTATTTCTTCCATATATCTGCAGGAAGCAGACAAATGATGGCATATATATATATAGTTTCAGTTGACTGGTGCCAGCATCACCTCCTATTCCTTTTCAGACTAATTCACCATGCCTGCTCTGTGGCTGAACTGTCCGTTAACTGCATCGTACCTATCCCACAGGATTGGCTAAAACCTTCCTTCTTGGATTTCTCCTGACTGCCCTGGATCCCAGTAATTAATTCTACTCCTCTTCAAAAACAGAACCAGAAGATGTTTTTTTTTAAACTGCCTTCTCTAACTTCCTTCTAGCTCAGAAATCTCTCCTTAGGACTCCTGCAAGGCAGGTGGGCTCTTCTGCGGTCAGTGATGAGGCTGCAGAAACTTTTTGGTGTTTATTCCCTCTCCTCAACTGCCCTTTGTTAACTGTGTCTCAAGAATCCTTAGGAGGCTTTCATCAAGGTCCCCTGCTGTGAACTGTTTCCTATTCTGTGCTGCCAACAGAAGGACAGAGAAAAAAAGGGACCCCGGACCCAAGCTTGGCAATTAGAATTTAATTTCTGAGTGATTCTAGAGACGTAATCAACAGAGTGCTTTGCTGTGTTGGTAGTAGTCCATGGAGGCAGTTCCTGATCTCTTTCTTCTCTAACACTGTACCTGCCTTGCACACTTCTTCTGCTTCAGCTTTGCCTCAAAGTCTGTGAACTACCTCCTCTTATTATTGTTGTTGTTACTATTAATATTTTCAATACATGTCCAGATTTTACCGCTGCTGTGGTTCAAGAATTTTGACAAGGACATAGCTCTTCTACTGTTGGAAGTTGTAATTCCCATGTGTAATGGAAAGTGCTGATTGTCAACTTGACAGGCTCTGAAACACCCAGGAGATAAACCTCCAGGCCCACCTGTGAGGGACTATTTAGATTAGCTAAAACTTTGGACACCTCTGTGAGGAATTATCTTGATTAGATTCATTGAGGTGGGAAGACCCACCCTAATGGTGGGAGGCCCCCTTCCTGGTCTTGAGTCCTGAACTGTATTAAAAAGACAAAGCTAGGCAAGCACAAATATTCAATGTTCTCTGTTTTCTAACTATGGATGTAATTTGACCAGCTGCCTTAAGCTTCTGCTGCCAGGACTAAAGGCCATGATGTACCGCACCCTGGAACTGCGAACTAAAATAAACCCTTCTTCCCTGAAGTAGCTTTTGTCACAGTGTTTCATCATAGTAACAAGAAAAGTGACTAAGACACTATGTTCCTCATTTTAGCCAGAGGAAATCTTGCTCATCAAACTTTCTGCTCATTCTTCTTTGTCCTAGTCTCTCCCTCAGCAATTAAGAGTCTAACCTCTGTTCCTACAAGAAAAACTTCAAACCTTTGAAGAAAAGCATCAAGGCTCACCTGTGGAAACATTCTTTGGGTTTTCCCATGACAAGGAAGATGCCTGTGTTAGGGAAAGTTCATACCATTTTACGTCATGTATAATCCTTAATTCTAAGTTCAGTGAAATTCAATTTGTCAGTATGTAGGAAAAGTTACAGAAAGTGTGCTATCCAAATGGAGACATGGAGTGTAAATTACAATGCTAATGTTTAAAATTATTTATTTAATACTCACACAATCAGAAGCATCTCATTACAGCAGCATTGACATATTCCATAACAATTTCCAGAGCTAAGATGCATCTCCTTCAAAATTGGCTGTAAGTTTTTAGGTTTACAGTTGAATTAATACAGTTATACAATATTGTACTCAGTATAAACCCTATAAGACATAAAATTAAATGAGGTTTTAAACTTTAAAAAAGATCCCCATTTCACTAGTAAAATACATGGTTTCATACAGAAAAATTCATTTTCAATACAG